ATCCGAGGATGAAGATGAAAAGCCATTTGTTGTAGCCCACTCTTGAGACAGTTTGTCAGGGCCTCTTCAGCTCATCGAGAGCCTTTTCACTCTTCGGCGGTCCTGCCGATGCCTGAAACTTACTTAAGACCGGGCTCGAGATTTCGTGCAATACGTAGTCTTCCAACAATATACGAATTGTTGAAAGAGCTACGTGGTCATCTCGAGAGGGACGAACGTTTCGAAAGGGACCTAATCGCGACCGCGAGCGCGAGAGAGCGACTTTAAGAGTCGCGCGATTCGAGGAGTCGAAAACAAAGCCGAAACAAACAGCACAAGTGCACCGTTTGAATCAGCAAGATTTCTACTCTCGAAATCGTAACTACAGAAACAGAACTGCCACGCGAAAACGCGCCTACCCGAATAACTAATGTGAACAGTCCTGCCCTGACCCTACCTACTTAGATTAAGCACACACACACCAGAGAAAGTTACCTACCTACCTAACCCTATATTTAAAAAAATGCAAAACTCAGTCTCTCAAACAAACACTCCACGGTTCTCATTCTGAATGTCCGGGCGCGACCTAAACTAGAGAGGACTCCCCGGGGTTCCTCCGACACCCGGACACGACCTCATTCATACTCTAATTGTGTACGTACCAGTTTTTGCAGTGGACTGACAAAGCTAGTGCCCATTGCGTACTTTTATTATTTATGTAAAACATTTTAATATATCTAATATAGTCTGTATTAAAATATACTGTATAATATGATTATATAAGATTGAAAAGCTATTTTACAATATTATTGACGTATATGCAATTACGACCAATTGCCAAGTAAATAACAACTATAAGTTTAATATTATTATTATGATTGGTATGAGTCTAATGTTAAAAAATCTGAATTGTAATAAACTTTTGAAACGATGCACTTCCACAACCTAACCACAAACACACATATGTGGACAGTACATCGTGCACGATCCACTAGCATTGTCAGCCGCACGGATAAATTATCATAAATGTTACAAACTAAGTCATCGTGACCCGTTGCCTTCGCTCGCGCAAATAACACTTGGGCATGTGCATGAACTCAGGCAACGAACACGGAAAAGTATCCTGAAAATCCTGACTAGAAAAACTGGTTATTAATAATTAACTAAACGGTATCTATTCTCAATTGAAATGACTCGACTTGTTATATGTAATATATCAGCAACAGAGTACGTTAATATTGAAAAATATTTTTATTCAAGAAATATTTGTGAAATCTAATTGTTCAAAATAGAAGACTTTAATAAAGATTTCATGATAAAATAATTTACTTTGCAAATTGAAATTTTATTAAATTATTATTCAAAATATTTAATTAACCTTGATCGATTCTGTCGTCAAAGTAAATTTTTTAAAAGATGAAATTAACATGAATGTTCCTTTGAGTTGAAAATCGACCAGTCGCGAAACGCCTTCTTGCACGTGAAATACATCGTATGATGTATTAATTGATAAAACGAGTATTTAATAATTATATTAACGATGTAAGATATTTTACTAAATCATATGATTAATATAATGTTTTCACATTATATTAATTTATATTCTACTCAATTATATAATTCGTATAAAGTTAATAAAAATATTTCATATATTTTATGAAAAATTGTGTAATATTTATTGATAACATTAAAAAACGCGAGTGCAAGAAGACCCTAACCTGCACTAAAAAAATGTAACAATTGATGTTGCTGCTCACGGGTATTTTTCATACCCGCGGTCACTTAACTCGTCAAAAATACTAATTGTAAGTATACAACTGGTCACCCGTGTTGATTCGGATCTTTCATCCTACAACATGGTTGGGGACCAGAGGAACACAAATAGCATGCGACTCACGAATGATGAACTTGTACCTCTGGGATGACTACATGATGATGCTGCTGCTGTCCAATGGAAGTCATCAAAGCCCCCTGCCTGGTCCTGCTATAAAGAATAAGAAAGCAATTACAATCTATTGTTCAAATTACAGAGATTTTTAATTAAAAATTTCAAAGTATAAATTTATACTTACGTTGTTCGCTCGTGGTCCACCGCCCGATACCCCCCGGGTACTGCTGCTGGTTTTCAGGATCACGTTCAGAGACTGAAAGAAAACTGTAAGAAAACAATTAGAATCTATTGTCAAAACTGTAGAGATTTTTAATTAAAAATTTGAAAGTATATACTTACATTGTTTGCTCGTGGAGCACCGTCCAATAATCCTTTTCAGTGATGCACTGACTCTAATTCCGGTAACGAGGAGTTTAAATTTCAAATTAAAAAAATAATCAAATTTATTAAATATTAAATTACATTAACGCGACCGAAGATTCAAATCGGCGAACAAATGACTCTATTCTCGCGATTTATAAAGCAAGGAGAGCCACGATGCTCTGGAAGTAATTTTAAAGTGCGTGAGAAACACTGATTCTAGCATCGCGTTTCCCTAACGCGTAAACGAGAATTTAGCCGGGGTCACTTTGCCCCGAAAAACAATCTACTACGCAGCAAACACTGAATCTACCGGCCGCATTGCGCGCGGCCAACAAATTTCCTGGAAAAAGAAGGCTGAAAAGAAAGGGACAGGAGACAAGAAATACAACAAGCACGCGTGTGCTTTTCCTATCAGTTTTCTTTTTTCTTCAATGCTCGTCAACAGAAATACTGCTTTATTTATATAAGTCGTTACGACTAACCGTAAAAGGTTAATGCCACGAAGGCGAAATATTCTCAAACGATATGATTTTCAACGATAAAATATTATTCACGAAAATAATTATTTTACAGTGATTATTCAATTTATAAATATCACCAACTTTCACAGTTAGAGTTGTAGGAATGGTTATATTTATTTTATCGAATGTTTGAATATATCGTAATTTTTATAAATATTTCAAAATTTGCAAAAATTAAAGTTCGTTAATTATTTATGCTTCAATAGCATATTCCAACTACGTAGTTTCTACGTTTTCTTAAACTTGCATAAAAAATGTATGCAAATTACAATTACAACAATTCATAAAGACAGATTTATAAACAATCAATTTAATAAATAATACTCGCGGCCAGAATACAGTTAAATATAGACCATTTCAATTTACTCTTAATGTCTACCATTAGCCATTCCTAAGTATCACACTATCGAAAGAAAGAAGAATTTATATCGAAAAAAGGGAAAAGTTCATTAACCATTTTCACGATTCAAAATTATGTATCAACGAATAACTTAATAAATAGATCAAAATATACAAATATTAGTATGTATGTTAATTTTTCTTGTAATAGGTTAAACGTTACCAATATTCTCTTCGAAAGTCGAGTTATCTGCCACCTACCATGGTGTCGTTTACGCGCCAATATATTCCCTTCGAAAGTCGAGTTATCTGCCATCTATGGTGTCGTTTACGCGCCAATATTCCATGACGTCGTATTTCAATCAGAGGCTGCCACAGAAATAAAATACAAATTAAAGTCAAATACATTGCAGTAAACGTATTTAATCATAATTAAACAATAATTGATGTACAAGATACGTAATATCGTTTAGGGAGAATGAATCGACGCCGGTCAAATATCAAAGAAAACGCGCGAAACCCGATTCAATTCTTCCCACAATTACAACTCAATTTGTAGTAAAAACGTATTAATATTACACGAAATCACCGTTTGAGAATAAATGCGAGTAGTAATAACGAGGAAATATCAAATAGTTAGATATACGTACTCGATGGCTGCGAAACGCCGGAACATGTTCGGACATGTCTCGACATGTCTTACTATTTCAGCACGAATGTCGTTCCCTCACTGTATCCAGTAACGTTAGCGAATTGGTGGGAAACTCTGATGTCTGGGTTAGGAAGTAATTCCTTAACCTTGAATTCCAATAGGAGACTGTAACAGAAACAAAATAAAAATGCGTTTAAGTACATGAACGATTATTACAATTAAGTGATGATTAAATCCGAGTTGTATTGTAACAGATCGTAATTAAAATGCGAGTAGTTGTAATGAGAAACTATCAGCGGGTTAAAAATACGCACCTCGGTCGCGAAACGCCGACACGTCTCGATACATCTTGCTACGTTAATTTTCTAAGTACGAATGATGCTCTTCGCTGTGCTCGGTAACGCTCGCGAGTTAGGCGGCGGGGTGGGGGAAGCTCCGATGTCTCACGAAGCTTGTATTTCGGAACGGAATAAGGATACCTCTAAAGGACGAAGGCGTACTTGAACAACGTAAACACCTTGACTTTAGAACCATATGACGATATAATGTATAAATTAAATATAACTCGCACTTTTGTCCATTTATAGTTGCAGATGATAAGATTCTTGAATCTGTTAACATTATTCACTTCTATGGTTACTTAAAGTAACAATTCACAAAGTCGCATTTCACTCGCCATATCTGAATTACACGTTTTGGATAAATATATCTTTTACAAACAATAAATAAGAATAAAAATAATATAAAAATCAGTAGTTTTACAGCGCACTCTGCGTTTAAAAACAATGACGCTGAGAATTATGTTTAACCTAATCATCGACGTCGGTAACGTCAACAAACTCATGAATTTTGCTCCTGATGCGATATCGACAAAAGTTTCGATAAAAAATTATTTATGGTTCTAAAGTCGAGATACTTTTACATTACTAGAATTAGTTATGAACCGTATGATACATCGAGACCTAATCCTCAGATTTATTTAAGTTTGCAACTCTGAATGTAATTACACAATTTTGGGCATTTTATATGTTGTGACTCTTTATTAAAACAAACAATCAATATTCAATCAATTATTCGTATTATTTATTAATTCAAATTATTAACTTTGCGTTGATGTTTTGTACTTCAACGAACTAAGATCGAAAACAACTACCATACCGATAGATATACTTTTTATTGTGCATCATTTCGATTACTTTAACGAGGCACACATGCTTACGTGTCGTAAGCTGTCACATAATGAACGCTGATCACATCGAATCTGTAATCAATCGCGACAACAATTACCTATGATAATGGAATTATCTGAGAAGGTTATATTAAACTCTCGTAATATGTAGAATTTATTATCTTAAATGTGTGTATTAACGGACAAGCTTCGTATCTGTAACCCTAATATTGTCACATGTAACAATAACAAATAATCTGTATCCTTTTATAATATTATACATTTATTAAAATAATTTCCAGTTCACGTTTTTTAAGAATCCGAACAAATTTCGATGGAATACGATTATTCCTGTCTTCATGTAGATACCATAATGTAACAATTACGCGAAACGTTTATTTCTCTCTCGTTACAGTAAATTACGATTAACTGGATTTATAGCCAACATCCTAAACCCCTCCTATGTGCGTCAGATTATTTCTGAGTCAAGAAAATCCATTACTTCTGTGTCATGATACCTTCTTTGTTCAATTGAAAGTTTTATCTACTTCTGTATGTCACTCATGACACGTATTTATGTTTCGAAAACCATGCGTATTGTACTTTGTGTCACAATCAGTTGATAAAGTCAAACGTATTGGCAAAAAATTAGTATTATTACTCAAAGAATTATGTGATGTAACTTCATATAATGAAAAAGTAACACAATAAGTGTTTTGTACTTCAACAAATTTGACTTAACAATAGGTGCTTAGTATGATTGATACCAGTGATTTTTTAATATATTAGTAATCATGTCTGATATATCAAACGAAGAAAAACCTGAGAACAGTAATAAAGATCGTTTGGTTTCTAATGATTCTGAGTTTGATGATGCATTATGCGTACCTGATTCTTTGGAAATTACTCTTAATGAAAATGATGATACTGCAAATAATCAAAGTAAAGAGGAGATTGATAATACAGGTAAGTTCATAATTACACTAATATCCCGTTTAGTCCTCAGCATAATTTCTTAGAATTTAAAGTGTCTGTAACTAATGATGTTATAAAAGGTCATTTAATTTTAGATAAATAGAGAATAGCAAAGACACAAACATTCTTGTAGTAAACAATGTTAAATTTAAAGAAAAGATTATTGCATGTTATAAAGAAACAGTATTAAATGAGATAGCATTGTGCATTGTCTTATTGTATTTATCACTTTTTTGATTTTTGTTATACCCATTAACATATTTAAGATTCTAAACATGTTAATTAGATACACTTGTGTATGTGTTTTTTGTCAATAATAGAATGTCCAGGTGTGATACCTTTCTCTGCTATACATGACTTACCGAAAAAGTTTAAAAGTCAAAACCGTAATGTTTTTATTCCTGGTGAGCAAGTGCATGTGAAGATCATAGATAATGAACGTAGCGTAACAACCCATCCTTTGAACCCAAATTTGTACACCATAGAATTTAGGCATGGTCCATTCACATGGACAATTAAGAAACGATATAAACATATTCAGAATTTACACAATCAATTGAAAATATATCGTGCTAGCTTGGACATACCTTTTCCAACTAAAAGTCATAAACAAAGAAGAAGTAGTTTGAAAAGTTTAGGAGATGTAAAGGAGAGAGGAGGTCGTAGAGGTGCACTGCCAAGGTATGAAAGCTTGCCTATATACGACGAATTTATTTTCCCAAATAATTAATAAATAAAACAAATACTTCTGCAGATTTCCAAATAAGCCTGATGTTCTAGTACCTTACGAACAGCTGGATCATAGGAAAAAAGTGTTAGAAGAGTATTTGGTCAATTTATTAAAAATAAAAATTTATAAGCATCATCCAGAAACTGTAAGTCAATGCAATGTACTATTTGTGCTTAATCGGTTAACTGTTTCTGACGAGTATACTCGTCATCGCTAAATTTGTGCGACGCAATTTAGATACTTACTACATACATAAAATTTAAAATTTTTCAGATCAATTTTTTAGAAATCTCACATTTGTCATTCATAGCAGACTTGGGAAAGAAAGGTAAAGAAGGAATTATTTCAAAAAGAACTGGATCAGGAGCAAGGTCTAGATGTAATCTTTGCGGCCTGCTAGAAAGCATGTGTTGCGTTACGTGCACTCATTTTTGTACATATTTATGTGGGAAATGGCATTCGCGACATCTTGTTGTAAAAGATACTTTTGTTGCCTATATTAGACCTAAAGATGGTAGCATAAAATCAGTAATTCTAATGGACAATGGCTTTGGAATCAGTTTTGGCTTGTACACAACAGGTCTAAGAAATGGTATGCAAATTGTAAATCTTAGCAGGCACATAGTAATTAAATGTTGGACCAGAAGAAAAGCTAAAGAATGGATGGAATTTATACAAGAAGTTAGTAATAAAGAAGGCAAGTTCTTTAAGTGACGGAATATGAATCTATTGTATTTTCAAATAATGAATTGCATCACTGCAGGTCGAGATTTTATACAATCAAATCCGCATAATTCGTTTGCACCTTATCGTTCGTCTATACCAGCCTCTTGGTTTGTCGATGGGTCAAATTACATGTCTGCTGTAGCAGACGCATTAGAAAATGCTAAAGAAGAAATTTTTATTGCAGACTGGTGGTTATCACCTGAAATATTTATGAAAAGGCCAGCTATCAATAGCGATTATTGGCGATTAGACAAAATCTTGCAGAGAAAAGCTGTAAGTATTACTACGAAAATACTATCGAAACTATTTAAACCATTCTACATATTTTATTATATCCTTCAATGTATTAATTTTATCATAACGAACCAGGAGATTTGGTAAGGATCCATTAAAATGTAAATTACTGTAATAAACAAAGAAGCTTATGAGAATAACTATAATTAATTTTTTATTTAGTTCGAGGGAGTAAAGGTATTTATAATGATTTATAAAGAAGTGGAAGTCGCGCTAGGGATAAACAGTTTTTATAGCAAACAACGGCTTGTAGAAAAATGCTCGGAAAATATAAAAGTATTGCGTCACCCGGATCATGCAAGAGTTGGTGTGTTTCTTTGGGCGCATCACGAGAAAATTGTAGTTGTTGATCAAAGCATTGCGTTTCTCGGTGGTATTGATTTATGCTATGGTCGATGGGATAATAACGAGCACAGATTAGTAGATTTAGGTAAACCAAACTTGAAACTAAATATTCGTTAGCGTTTACAAGAAGTATTAACGTTATCAAGCTGATGAGATAACATAATTTTTTTCAATTGTAGGTTCAACTCATCACTCTAGCATTTACATTCCATCCAAAGGTAAACTCACAAACACCAGCAGCAAAAAAGTATCGGCTAAAACAAACAAGCATGTCTTGTTGCCATTAGCCATTGCAACTAATACGATTGTAATGGCTACTACAAGATCTATACCTGTATGGTAAGTTTTGTATAATAACTGAATTATCGAATATTGTGTTCAACACAGCCTGACTTACGACCGCAAACTAGATCAGAGAAAATGAATTTTTTAGGCCTATGATGAATACTAAAATGCCAACGCCACTATCATTGCCGCAATTAAGCCCTGAGGATTTAATGTTATTGCAATCACCAGAAAATGCTGATACCATGAAATGTAATACACCAAACACAGAGCGCAAAAATCTGTTCGGTATGGCTAAAGACACTGTGGGCAAAGTGAAACAGAATATAAAATTAAAAAGGCAGGAACTAATTAACATGGTATATAGCCCGCAGGAGGGAAATAGCGACGATGAAGATGTTGTGGATTGGTAAACTAATTTTCTCAGTAAAATACGTATCATTTTAAAAATGAATCCAGCCTTACAAACTCACTCAAATTCTTTCAGCAATACGGTAGAAACGCCAATTGAACCCAATGAATCAGTAATATACGATGAAGTTGATACATTTTCGGAGTATCCCGGTACAGCTAAACTGTGGCTTGGAAAGGACTACACAAATTTTATTGTTAAAGATTTTAACGATCTCGAGAAACCCTATCAAGATTTAGTCGATAGGAGCACAACTCCTAGAATGCCGTGGCACGACATCGGAGTCATGGTACAAGGTGCATCAGCCAGGGATGTTGCCAGACACTTTATCCAGCGTTGGAACGCGATCAAGGTAAGAATTGTTAAACATTCGATAATCTGATGCACTAACCTGTTTATGTGATCTGCATCGGTAGATGGAAAAGGCGAAGTTGAATCCATGTTATCCGTTTCTTCTTCCAAAATCGTATGACGATTGCAGAAGCTATGCGCCATTTATTGATAGAGCAGCTGTACACAATGTTCAGTGTCAAGTGTTAAGATCAGTTAGCTCTTGGTCCGCTGGTTTTCTCGATTCCGAGACCCTGGAACAAAGTATACAAGAGGCTTATATACATGCGATCAGTAAAGCTGAAAGGTACAATTAATTCAACAGGATGTGGCATTTAAAACAACCCATCCGAGCAACTCATTTACAGTTATTCGGATGGCCTATTCGGGTATCTTTTTTCTGCGTAGATTTACTACTAGAATTGTTTTAGGTACATATATATAGAGAATCAATTTTTTATAACACTTGTATCTATGGAACGAACCGTAGTAAAAAATCGTATAGGAGAAACACTGTACAAACGAATTTTACGAGCTCACCGGGAAGGCGCAGTGTTCAGGGTGTTTGTAATAATGCCTCTATTGCCAGGTTTTGAAGGTGAAGTTGGAGGACCGAGTGGCACAGCCTTGCGTGCCATCACTCAGTGGAATTACGCTTCTATATCAAGGTAAAATTCTAACGTGAAACCAAATTGAAATAAATATTATACATTGACTGAAATATGTGTGTGCTTTTAACTAATAATAGAGGCAAAGGTGCCATTCTGAATCGACTGAGGGAAGCGGGAATAGAAGATCCTAGTGAATATATCACGTTCCACGGTTTAAGGGCTCATGCAATGTTGAATGGCACATTGGTGACAGAATTAATTTATGTTCACAGCAAGCTATTAATTGTAGACGACGACACGGTCATTTGTGGTTCTGCTAATATTAACGACAGAAGCATGATCGCGACAAGGGATAGTGAAATTGCAGTAATAATTCATGTAAGCATTATGAATCCCAAAGTACCAAAGGTTTAGATCATTTACTAAGATTGGACATAATTGTATAATTATAGGATCGAGAGTTTGAAGATGGAAGAATGAATGACATATCGTTCCCCTGCGGTAAATTTGCAGGATCTTTACGAAAAGAATTGATTTCTGAACATTTGGGGTTGCATAAGACGAATGAAAATATAAATGTAAACGATATAATTAAAAAATCATTCTATAGAGACGTATGGTGTGCTAGAAGTAATCGAAACACGGAAATCTACGAAGAAGTGTTTCATTGCATTCCTACAGACAAAGTTGTGAATTTTTCTATGTTAAAACAGTACCAGGATGGAGAACCACTTTGCTCGTCGGACCCACTTCTTGCTCAAGAAATGGTCGACAAAATTAAGGTAAAAATGGTCATCGAAATTTTATTAAGCATTACTTTCATAAAACTAATGACTTTCTCCATGTTTGTTCTAGGGTCATTTGGTAAATATGCCGCAAAACTTTTTGTGCAACGAGGATTTGAGACCTGCCGCTAGTACCGTGGAAGGTATTATGCCAACAGCTTTATGGACATAGATGTATCGTACTTAAAGCCTAACACTAACGACATTTGAATCAGTATTTTTACTATTTTTCATAATCGGAAAGAAGTAATTGTTATTATATATTTTATTGAAAAAGAGTACAAAAATTGTACTATATTTTTAACTAAATATTTTATCAATTGTGACTGAATATTTGATCATGCGTTCCAAAGATATACAAATTATACTTGCTAAAAAAACAAGCTAAAGTTCTTTTAGGCAGCTAAAAAGCACTTAACTGTAACTTATTTATGATGTAAATAATTTTACTTTAACATTCCATAAAGTCTACCTCTGTAGAAAAAACTGATGTTATTATAATTTACTGTTACTAACCGTTATTAATTAAAAACTAATTTTATTATTTTTGGTTTTTAAAAATCACTTTTTACCAGTGCTCGGGCGTTTTACGTAGTAAAAGAGTACGTATCTAATAATATTTAAACGTGTCTTTTAATCAGTTGACTTTCGTATTGTGAATTCTATTTTATAATGCTATTTATTTATATTGACCGATACAAGGAATAAAGACAGTGTGCAACATTAAATAAAATTGTTTTCTGTTCATTTTTTTAAAAGATTTAAAAAAAATAATGTCCAACTTCAGTTCACTTGTTCTTCTACCATTACAAATACTAGTCGTTATGGTAAAAAACGATGAGGATTGATCGCCGTCGATTTTCATCGAGACCGCCATTTTCTCGTGGAAGCACGAAAACATTTTTAAAATTTGTCGTAAACTCATTACAATGCAATTAAATCATTTCCATTGTCCACATTTTTATCTAGATAAAAGTTTCGAATAACGAATAAAGGATAAGGGGCTATTCATTCGTTGGTCATTCAGAAATAAAACTTGGGATTTGAATTAACGAATGAACAAATCAAAATTTAACGGCTCGATCAAATGAATCTTACGAATGAATCGCTATATGTTGGTTATCTTATCCATTATTATATAATTATACTGATTTTATGAATAATTACCATCGATGAGATCTTTTCTAACTTGATCCGAAATTATTGCACTGCCCGAACATTTGTTTGAAAAATCGACTCGAGACCAGGGTACCCATACACCCTCATTAAACATGGCGACAATTACGATTTGGAAAACGATCGAAATGCTGATCGATTTGAATTTGGAAAAGAAGCTACATTTATAAGAAACTATACGAAGAGAATCGCACCCGATTTGCTCCCATTATTTACTATGTAATTAATAATTGTATTACCCACCTAATACGGCTAAACGCGGTTATTAATTAAACACTAAATAATATTTAAGTAATTTAATTTTACATCGCGTTTAATCGATTGTCTTAGACTTTAGATGGAGGGAACATTTAAATATGAAAGACTTACTCGTCTAAAGTTCGTAGCCCTCTGGTAGTGAATTGTAGGAAGCATTGTTATATTCTTTTGGAGCTGCTCCAAAACGTGTTCCAGACTGGAACTTCCAGTGGATCATCTGTCTATTCGTTTTTACTCCGAAATTGAAGATCGAACACATTTTGTGTTTTGATAACTATTGTCATTTTCTGCAGTATGTCGAACTAAATTTGTTATTATTAATAGAAATATTGGTGTGGTGCATCATCTTCCGCGTTGTGTATTCTTTCCTTAATATTAGAAATGACATATTTAAGTTCGTGGGAAGAGTTCGAGAAAGGCGCTGAGAGGTTATATCTTCAAAATCCGATGAAGGTAAATTTTAATTAAATTTACGTTGGTTGTTTTATTTCTTTCATCTTTGTTGATTGAAAATCTTGCGTATTTTTTAACAATAGTGTTCTAAAAACATATTTCAGTCAGTAATTTTAAACAATTTCATAGGTTATACAAGGTGAATGACATTACGATATGACACGTCATTCATCTCGGAGTTGAAAAAAAATTTTATTTCGACAACTTTTCTAAACAACATTTAATTCTCAGTTAGGATAAAGGGTATTGAAAATTAGCATTGCATGAGGTTTATATTTTAGCAATAGGCTACAGGTAAAATCATAAACATTTACATGTACAGGCATTATATTTATAAACAGTTTTACAATTGTTGGTTTATAATTTATTATTTTCTTCTTTCAGACTCGGTATACAATGAAATATTGCCATAATAAAGGCATTCTATGTCTTAAACTTACGGATAATCGAACAGTAAGTATATTACCCTTATGTAACTTACCTTATAATTTTTAGACTTATTTAAATAATACAATTGTAACTTTTGTTGCAGTGCTTACAATATAAAACAGAGATAGCACAGGACTTAAAGAAGATGGAAAAGTTTATAGGAAACTTGATGAGGCACATGGCATCTAAAGAGAGCTAAGTAAAGGACTAGATAAGATTAGGGACACTTTTTTTTTAAGTAAGGAATAAAAGTGCTGTTCGTGTAATTCATTGTTTATGTTTCATTTCATAAGATTCACTGACTGATGGGATTATAGATATTTAATTTGAATGAGGTATAAAAACTTCCTTAAATATACAATATGTGCATAAATGTCTATTTTTTATTTATTTAAAGCTTCATGCTCATTTTGGGTGGTACCGTTGCCTCCTTGTTAAAGTTCTGAAACAGTGCAAAACAGAGTGTATCGACGCGCGATTAAACGTTTATTCGAAAATATGTTTTCAAGAAATCAGAACAGAAGTGTAGTTTGTTGTAATTTATGTGAAAAATACTAGCACTATTCGGAAAGTGTAATTGTATTGTTTCAATGATAAGACGAATACTCAATGGCATATACAGTAGCGCCCGCGTAAGTGACCGCATTTTTGCCCACTTAAGTGTTATCGATATGTATAGTTTCGGGTGCCAGGTATTGTATCTCATTTGCATTTATTCTCTTTCCTTATCTCCGTTCAATTCTGAGAAGTAACCATGCCCGCATAAATGATCGTGGTCACTTAAGCGGGCACTACTGTACTACATTAGGTATTAATAAAGCGATACTTAATTGTTGCCCTTAAGTTTAATCAATTTCTTACTCGATATTAATACAAGAGAGAAGCAGAAAGCAATGAAAAGAAGCACTTACGATATAATGGGCTGCAGAACAGCATCCAGAGTAGTATCAACAGGATGGTAGATTTCTTGGTTTGAAGACAGTTCATAGCGTACCTCTCCCCCTAATTGCAATTGCGTCTATACCAAACAAAACTATTTTACTAATATACTATGCAGAAGATTGTATGATACGACTCACTACATTCTAGGAACAGCATTTCGTTACATCGATCTTGCATTTATTACGTTTTTTAAGGGACAAAAAAAATTCAACGCGTAAGGATAACAAAATGCTGTAACTAACGGAGAAAGAAATAGTATACCTTAACCACATGTATTTGTAAAAAGCGTTTAGTATTTCTAAAAGACTTCCACATTGTAAGTGCATCTTTAATAAAGACAATTTCATCTGGGATACATTGTCGTAAGAATCCTTTATCGCCATAAAAAAAAAATCCTACGTTACTTCCAAGGATAGGTCGCGCCCGTGTGTTCGTCGATTTAACTCGAACTTTTTCTGGCGATTCTACCTAAAAAAATTTGAATGGAATCGGCAACCGTACAGGCACGACCTCTCCTTGTTGATCCTTTGTTGTCTTTTAAAAGCGAAAAGCTTGAACTACTTGAAGCGAAAGTGTTGCCCATTACTTTCTGGTGGTACTGTTTTACTTTTTGAAAAAATTATCGTCCACCAAATACTTGTATGCGCGCAGAAGGTATCGAATCACGCTCGAGACCAGATTAACTGAACGACTGAGCGACGTTGTTGTAAAAGTGCAAGCGAAAAGAATACGTACTACTCGGGTAGGTTTAGCGCTGTCGGCAGAGCTTGAGCAGCAGCTTGAAAATTCCTGCGGTGTGCTTTCCCCGAGGCCACTGTCCACGTTACTGCCTATCAATATTCTGTTGTTTCGTGTATAATAAAAGTCCTTCCTCATATTGCACTCAGTCCTACTACCGTCGTAGTACTTTGTCTCGACTTGGCTTGGCCTCGTCGGCGGCAAATTATAACTTCCGTCGCGACAATGCTGTATCATTCTTCTGTTTCTTTTGCCAACGGATCCGATCGTTCTGAAAGTGAGCCCTTGACAGTCTTCGATATCACTCCCAAAACTTAACGATCATCCCAGATCGGGCACCATTCCGACATCGATGCATGTACATATATATTTTAGTTTACCAAAACGAACAAATGCGGTTAATACATTACTACGAGCTATGTTGCATTCCTTAGCGATACACATTTCTTTTATTTATAACGATATAACATCAATCATCACGCCAACAACTGTATCCATACGTCGATCAATATCACGTACGCCAATATATTTAAAAGTTTACGGTATCCTGACGATACACCGAACACCCGAAGGGGATCACGAGAGCGTTCGTGTGAACTAGCCACAGTGAGAATTTCAAACGATCTTTTTAACAACAATACACCAATAATCTCGACGCTCCCAAATACCGACATCTGTTCGACGAGTACACGATGCAGAACACACAATACACAAAGAGAACTTTTTCAACGAAACACACAACGAACAAATACTACAATTCCGAGGATGGTTATTCCACGGAACAACAACGCACTTCCATGGAATAGCAGAAAGCGATCAGTAGGTGCCAGCCAGGACATAAATAAACAGGTGCGACAAGCTGTTAATCTCATCGATTTATTAAGGATCTGTCATGCTTCGAAATAAATAATAGGGGGCATGCTTATAGTAGATAATGTACATGCTCTGAATAAATAAAGTACAAACAAAAAAAAAAAAATAAAAAAAAAAAAAAAATACACATGCAAAGGGGATTTTAAACAATGACTACGGATCCCGTCTCATCCTCCAGTTGCGGAGGATGGTTGTGGATGTTGCAGGCCGCCTTGAGATCATCGTACCTAGGCAGGGACGACGAGTCTGCGTCATCCAATCGGGAATTGCTAGACTGTAGGGGACATTGCTGTACAGTTTGCGACTGAACCACCGTATATGGTATCTCTCGTCGTTGCTGCTCGCTCATTCCCGTTGTGTCGATTAATCCAAACTCCAAATGTCTGGAAAATTAACCGTTACCTTAATCCTTACGTTGCTATGCACGAGACACGATCTTTACGGGGACCGTTCCGAACAAATTGTTCTCAATTTCGTAATTATATTTTATATCTTGATACCAATTTTTCCACGATCGACGAGACAACGTTCGAATGTTTTTCTTTTTAAAAATTACTACAATTTTCTTAGCAACGCGAATCGTTCCTCGGAAGATATTGTTCAGAAATGAAACGTACTTCCTAAGCTCGTCTGGCAGTGGTTGCTTTTGAGAAGGACTCCGGTGCCTGCTCCTATGCCTTCGTCTAGGTTCTGTGTGGCTCACCTATCACAGTATCATATTCACTTTAATTACGTGTTATGGAAAGAAACAAGAAAAAAACGAATAAAAAGAGAGTATAAAGCGAGGAAGATTGCTGAATGTGCAGCGTCTACAATGGTGGACATAATCATTGGCACAGCACACGATTTCGTATAAAAACGTTAAAAACTATTGAAAAATTTGTTTATATCACTTCCTTTTTTTAAAGTAGAAAACATATAATTAATGAAAATCTTTATTTACTAACACTTTTTTGAAAATATAGTGTTAGTTTCTTGTTCAAATGAAGTCGATCCCAATAGTCATTTCAATCTTTTGAAAATGTCAAGAAAAGGAAAAGAAAGTACACCGGAAGAAAGAAAAATAATATTTAAATTACACGAGGAAGGTAAATCTTATTCAGAGGTAGGAGAAATGGCGCAAAGAAGTCGTTTTACGATTCGAAGCATAATTAAAAGATTTGCAAACACGTCAAGTACTAACAATCACATACGAAGCGATCGTCCTCCGAAATTGTCGGAAAGGGAGAAAAGAAAAATAATTAATATAATAAAACAGAAATAGGAGCACTATTTGCAAAAGATTATAGTGAACAAAAAGGAACGATTAGAGTTTGCAAAAGAATTTTTGAATAAATATAATGACTTTTGGGACCAAGTTTTGTTCTCTGATGAAGGTAAATTTAATATTTTCAAATCAAATATGGAGGAAACCCAATACCGCAATACCAAGCTACTGTCAAACATGGAGGTGGTGGAGTCTGTATATGGGGGTGTATGTCCTCATCCGGACTTGGGGAACTAGTGTGAAGACTCAGTAGATGCCAAAACTTATGTAAATATCTTAAAAGAAAATTTAAAGAAAAGTACGGAAAACTCAAAGTTACCAGCAAACTTTTATTTTCATAAGGCTTATAAAGCCTGTCAATGGATTGTTTACAACACAGCACACACTTTCAGAACACCTCCCCGGAAGTCCGGATCTTAATCCAATTGAAAATTTTTGGTATCAAGTGGAAAAAAATATTCGTAAACACCACATTTCGAATAAATTAAAGCAGAATGGTCTAAAATCAGCAGTGATTGAACAAGGAAGTTGGTCCATTCTATGCCAAATAGATTAAAAGAAATGGTGAAATGAAGAGGATATGTTACAAAATATTAAATTATAATTTAAATACGGTGTTATATAAAATGTGCCAATACTTTTGTCCAGGTATCAGATGATAATAGAACAGATTTTCATTAATTATATGTTCTCTATTTTATTAATTTTCTGCCTTTGTGTATAGGTAAATAAGACATAAATAAATGAAAAAGAAGTGATACAAACAATTTTTTCAATAGTTTTTAACGTTTTTATATTAAATCCCATATTGTGCCAATACTCATGTCCATCACTCTAGGTTCTGCATGGTTCACCTATTAAAGTATCATATTCGCTTTAATTATGTGTTACGAAAGAAAAATAGAAAAGTTATACGAGTAAAAAAATGAATAAAAAAAGAGTATAAAGCGAGGAAGATATCTGAATGTGCTGAGGAGTCCTTATAAAAATTGAATGCACGAAATCACGTTGTTTATTCGAACTTACGACAGCTCGTTGGACTCCTTCGCCCTTCCGCTTCTGCGCTTCCCTCCATTGCGGTTCGGAGTCCACCAATTCGTGTCTGAAAAGGTTTACGTACAAACGTAGTAACGAGCATTACGGTCTAGAGTGTAGTTTAATTCGGGGAACACCGGCTAGCATTATACGCGTCACAGTGATAAATTAGATTTGAATCGTGCGCGTTTGTCAAGCCGTGATTACGGGACCGGTCCTTGCGCATTCATTTTTCATTGAATAATGCGAAAGCATCATCAGGAGATTTCGTTGCCAGCGGTTGATACTTCCCGTGCGCGTCGTCATTAAAATAATTATCACCTTTACGCAGTTTATGTACCCTACCGTGAGAGTATAATGAGTACGAGGGCTTCTTTCCCGTCCTCACGGTCGATGAACCCAGCCAAGACATTCTAGCGAGTTGTTTCGTTTTCACATGACCGTCTAAGGAGCCTTTATTACTCCAATTAATTACCAATTAAGCCGGAACGCGCGTCTAAGACGGTCAATCGACTTGATGCACGGCGGAAGATGCAACGAGGTCGATTAAATCGAATGGTATTGTTTAAACTCCCTCCGCCGATGAGGATATATTCATTGTTTGAAGGAACAATGCCCCAAAATTATCACCATTGGTACTCGTCGAAAGAGAAATAGTTTTATGTACATGTGTGTTGCGACAAACTCTAAAAATCAGAGTGCTACGATAAGTGTAACTCAATCATCGAATTAACGTATGTTATTTTCCAAGTAACTAATTGGAAAATTTATCACAAAAGACGTTACCAGCAATTTTGTGATTTCTCCGTTTTGCTAGATTTCCTACTTTCTGTATAATTTCCTGAATAATTGCTTCGGAAATAGACCGTTGTGCAAAGAAACGAGGATTGAACATGTGAATCAGGCGATTGTTATAACACTCCGACCTTTAGGCATACTTATCATAATTTTCCCATCACAGATGCTGTATACAATGTTTCTATGAAGATCAATCAAAGTAGATCGTACGAGCAAAGTTTAATATATTTATTAAACGTTACGTTCCATTCTTTGGGATTATTTTCAGTACACAAGAGTTTTAATTAATTTATATAATTAAATAGATAAAAAAAGTAGCATATTCGTGCGAGAACAATTGATTTAATAGAATATTCTTATTCATTTGATCACGTAGGTTAAATGAATTTCTTCTGTAATAAAGAGGACCAGAACACTGCATCGAAACATTTAATAAATATATCAGGCTCTGCTTCTATCGTTATGATCTTCTTGGATTAATTAAACGCTATGCAAATGTTTATTTTTCCGACGAATACCAAAAATGGTAATTGTTGAACATTGTCCTTTAAAGGATGATTGTTGGTGACTGTACCTAGAAGACCGGGTACTTCTGTGCTTCCTGCGGTGCTTACGGTGGCCTGACCTGGTGTCCGAGCC